TCCTAGTGATGGGTCTCAAGCCACAGTCTACTAGGCATTTGATCATATTTGCGTGATAGTGTGACATTTAACCGAAAAAAGAAATAATTTAAATAAATATAAATAATATAAAAATTAAAGAGAAGCACTTAACTTTTTTAAGCGGACTGAAAAATGTGGGCTGACTAGAATGAATATCATCCAGCAGAACTCCTTGGGCCCGTTTTAAATTGTAGAAGCCTTAGCCCATATCCACAGATTTGAGTCCCAATTTTTGGCTCCACGCAATCCTAGCCCACTGCTTCCCCTTATGTTTGCCAGCGGAGCTTTAATACGGAGTAGCTGACCGTCCATGTCCGCAGAGTTGTTGATAGCTAATCGACTAATAGTCAATGTGCTAATAGTCCGTGTCGGCAGATCTTTGAATGATGTGTGGTCTGCGGTCACTTCCCGCACTTAACGTTAGGTTTCGAGCCGTCACACCTTGCCCTGTCCCCTGCCATGGTCGTCACCAGCTCAAGGGGTCAGAAAAGCTTCGGTAGCTCTCGTCGCCGGAGTGAGGTAGCAGCCGCGGAACCTTGGCCTAAGCCCTAAGGATGACCTGGATGCGGTCAAGGTCATTATCCGCCGGCGAAGTTGTCCAGAGGCACTCATTTCGCTACAACTGACCGTGGTTTTGATTCAGGCATGGAGCGTTGACGGAGGCCGGCAGGACGGAGGAGAAAGGGAGATCTGAACCCGGGAGACAGCTGCGACTTAAGTCTGGGACCTCAGGCTGATTGGTCCAGGCGCGGTGGCAGAGCAAGACAGGAGGCGCTGAAACAAGAGGCGACGGACTTTGGGTGACAGCACCTACCGCCGGAAACAGAGGTTGCGGACATGATCACCATGATGTATTGATGTCACATCTTGGACTTCCTAATTCGTCCAAGCTAATGTCGTCCTTATGATTATGAAAGTGGATGACCATGATGTATGGATGTATTAATTCATCCAAATCATGTCACAGCGACATGATGACTATAATGTCGTCCTTCCACTTTTAGATCTCAAATTTTCTTCTTTTGATTTGGATTTTTAGAACACTTTTGGCTTATCTCTTGTATTTCGGATGAATTCTATAATGTGTTCAAACCTCTTAACGAGAGCACTATTGTTGGATATTTAATACTTATATTGTATAAACTAGGAGATTTGAATAAGAATGTAGTGCGGAAACGGGGAAGAAGAAGATAAGTGTGTATAGAATGGATATTGGTTGTATGAGTTCTGTGTTATGTTTACGAGCCTCCTATAAGGAGTATATATAGGGAAAATCCGGCTCTAGGCCTTTAATATGGGTCGGACAGACTCAGTTAGATAAATGGACTGATAATATAAAAAGCTAATCTAAAACATCTGAATAATAATAATGTAAAACAATAAGAATCCGCTAAGCATGTGTGGGCCGCTGTCCAGACCCAATAGTCGACAAATCGGGGGGTGGCGGTCCATATACTCCATCAAACCCTAAATATTCGCCATCAATGGACTCTAAGAGCTCCAGGTGTGACAGATCATGGACCAGTGCACCCCTGTCAGTCGCCACTTGAGGAAGCTCCGCCGGTGCTGCTGGAGTCCTAGCGACCTTGCCCAGCTGCAGGTGCTGCCTGATGAAGCTTTGTCGTATCCAACCTCAGTGATGCGAGTGGGTAGCCTTGCGCCCTTTTGGCTGACAGACTTCCGAAGAAGGAGGTCTTTTGGCCGTCACGTGGGCTTTGCACAGGGTGTTAGGAGAGCTGCTCACTTTGCTCGGTTGGTGTTTGGGCTTGGAGTGCATGGGCCAAACCCATCTGAATTGATTTTTCTATTGGACCGAGTTTCCAAACAACAGAAAAGCTAAGTATACTCCTCCATGAGATCATTTGAAAACATAAATTGAAACATTTGAAAACATATTTTAAGTGATATATTGCTTTTACTCTTGTAACTCCGCCATGAGATCATTTTTTGGTATCATGCCTGTCCCAAGCCATGATAAAGGAGGAGGGTGCTGTGGTAGGCGCGTGACGGCCAACAGTATCACTTAGTCACATCACATGACATGAATCGAAATATGAATATCGCTACAGCTAGGTCGTCGCCCGTAAGCGACGCGTCATCCCTCCGCCTGGGGATGGTGTCAAATGAGCAAGGGCGTGCTACACTTCCTAGGCCTGGGTGTGGTGATAAGAATGCTAAGGCTGCTAGGTCGTCGCCCGGAAGCGACGCACCACTCCAATGTCCGGGGATGGTGTCAAATATGCAAGGGCATGGTGGGGATCGACGTGGTGTGAAGAAGAGAAGGCATGGTGTTAAATTGCGTTTTGGGACATGGAATGTTGGCTCTCTGACGGGAAGATCATCTGAGATAGCTGAGGTTATGAAGAGGAGGAATATCAGCATAATGTGCATGCAAGAAACTAAGTGGGTTGGAGAAAAGGCACGTGAGATTAACCCCGGAGGTTTTAAGCTGTGGTACTCGGGGAGAGAGAGGAACAGAAATGGAGTAGGCATTATGGTGACACATGATTATGTTGAGGGTGTGGTTGAAGTCTTTAGGAAGAATGATCGCATCATGAGCATTAAGTTGATCATAGGAGATGAGATTGTGTCTGTGGTGCCTATGCACCACAAGTGGGATTGGATGCATCTATCACTCAACAATTTTGGGAGGATCTTGAGGAAGTGGTGCGATGGGTGCCAAGGGGAGAGAAGCTGGTCATAGGAGGCGACCTCAACGGGCATGTGGGCCCAAGTCGTGAGGATTTTGAGAGTATCCACGGCGGACATGGCTTTGGCACTAGAAATGAAGCGGGGAAGAACATTTTGGATTTTGCCTCGACATATGAGTTGGCTGTGATGAACACTTGGTTCAAGAAAAGAGACTCACACCTTGTCACCTATAGAAGTGGAGCTAATAGTACCCAAATTGACTACTTTTTAGTACGTACGACTTGGAGAACTAGCTACACTGATTGTAAGGTTATCCCAAGTGAGAGTGCTGTCACTCAGCATAGGATGCTCGTGCTAGATTTTCAAGGTATAAAGAGGAGACAAGTTAAGGTACAAGGGGAGCCAAAGATAAAATGGTGGAGGCTCGAGGGGAATCTTCAACAGAGTTTTGCACACAAAATGTTGGAGGAAGATGTATGGTCTATTGATAATGACGCATATGTGGATGATGTGTGGTTATCAATGGAGTCCACCATTAACAAAGTGGCGAAGGAGATACTCAGAGAATCTAAAGGATGTCTGCCACAAAAAAAGGACACGTCTTGGTGGAATGATGAGGTGAAACAAGCAATAAAGACCAAAAGGGAATGCTATAAGAAATTGGGCAAAAGTAGGAGCGACGAGAACATAGAGGAATACAAGGAGGATCGAAGAAGAGCAAATAAAGTTGTGAAGGAAGCCAGAGGAAAAGTGAACAAGGAATTATATGTAAAGTTGGACTCTAAAGAAGGAGAAAAAGATATATACAGACTTGCTCGTCTTCGTGATCGTAGGACTCAGGATAACGGAAAAGTTAAGTGTGTCAAGGATGTCGATCAAAGGGTACTAATGGAGGACAAAGAAATTAAAGAGAGGTGGAGGTCATACTTTGATACCTTGTTCAACGGGAATAAAGTGCAAGGTATTGATGATCTTACTATACCAGAGTGTATGGTAAATCGAGACTTCGTGAGAAGGATTCAAACAACAGAAGTTAAAGAGGCTATGAGAAAAATGGGGAGGAAGAAAGCAGTGGGCCCAGATGGCATACCGATCGAATCTTGGAGAAGTTTGGGAGAGAAAGGCATCGAGTGGCTAACACGTTTCTTCAACATGATTTGGAGAAACAACAAAATGCCAGTGAGTTGGCGGAAGAGTACTCTCATTCCCTTATTTAAAAATAAGGGTGATGTACAAGAATGTGCTAACTATCGAGGGATTAAGCTTATGAGCCACACCATGAAACTTTGGGAACCCGTGATTGAGCAAAGACTTCGTAAGAGTGTGAAAATTTTGGAAAATCAATTTGGTTTTATGCCTGGACGCTCAACAACTAAGGCCATTCACCTTCTTAGACAAGTTATGGAGAAGTATAGAGACACTAAAAAGGATCTGCATTTGGTGTTCATTGACCGGGCTAAACTTGCAAGTGTACAAGTGCCGATATAGTAATAAATTCCGGTAAAATACCGGGTCGAATCCACAGGGAAACGTTGTTTAATTCAAGTCCGAGAGTAGATGACTTTAAATAAATAAATGAGTAAAGTGTAGGGAGTTTGATTTGTGTTTTATATTTTTGGCTTTTCACTTTTTGTTCAAGAAGATAAACGTTAACTAACTTTAAGTTTAAGATGAATGATAACAACAACTAAGGCTTCGGGAATCACTTAAATGCTTTAATAGGCTAAAGAATGGCATCTTTTAGTCTATTCGAGCCCAACAATCAGGTATGGAGCAATATTTGATCAAGAGATGAGGAAGGTGAAGTTTTCCCATCAAAAATCCTCTTGCACAGCCTTTTGTTTGAGCTGAAATCGTCCCAACCGGCCTCGGTCAGTCTAGAACCGGCCCCGGTCGCAAACAGGCTCATTTAGTGCGAAAAAAACCTTCCAACCGGCGCCGGTTCTAGGCTGATCGGCGCCGGTTGCAGCGCCCAAAATTGTACTTTGTCTTTCTTCCTCCGAAATGGATCAAAAAGTGTCGGTTTTTGTACCGGGATTTTGGGAATGTTCTGCTATGAATTTTGACATGATTCCTTCATCAAAGTTGTAGATAATGAAGTCTTCTATCCACCAAAACTTGAATGACGTGATTTTATTCATCCAATCAAACGTTATGGCTAAAACACTGAGAGGTGTTGGAATATTGAGAGTATTTCAAATGAAAAATACTTTATTGATCAATTTTATAAATTAGATATTTTTATATTCTATTAAAATAAAAAATTAATGAATGTTTATTGAGCTCTTATAAAAACCGTTACATGAGTTGTAGCTTTTGTTATTATTATTAAAAGTGTATTAAATAGTCCATTAACATTATAAACTATAATACATTAACGTTAAGCTTTTAACTCATGCTTTTATATAAAACGTTTTCTAGCTTGAGCTTTAAATGCTAATGCATGCCTCACCTAAGGTGCAACGTACGTCGATAGCATGTTATATATATTCAGCTACTTGTTTATATTTGAAGATAGCAGCTACGAACCAAAAACTCCCTCACACGATACTTCTATCTGCTGGATTAATAATTTCTTCCAGTCTCGTTGTTCTGTTACCGGCTTACGCCGAAGAGCTCGTTTTATCTTGGGGAAAGGTTTTCGCTAGTCGGAAATACTTTCTTGAGGACAGCGTTTACGCGAATCGAGCTATTTTATTTTCTAACGATTTTTTGCAGGTATATCCGGCCGAATTCCATCAACAAAAGGTATGCATCCTGAAATCCCACCAGCAACATCTGACTTTGTTTGTTGATTGAGTCTTGTTCCTTTCATATTTTGATTATGATGTCTTCATAACATTTGTTCCTTATTGAGTTAACATTCACATGAAATTCGAATCGAGTGATTTCGAGTTCTATACAATAAGTTATACTCGAATTATGGGCAGAACGTCATCCTCTTGGTCCAAAAAGCTCTTCATCGCAATGGTTTATGCTCTAACTCTCATTCTCAAGATATTTTCCCAATTTCTCTTCTTTTCTTCAACAAATGCTTATAAATACTTATGTTAAACACAAGTAAATATAACGGCTATCAAATCCCCCCACACTTGAGCATTGCTTGTCCTCAAGCAATTTCTTTGTAATGATGCACAATTAGAAAAGAAACTAAACCATGCAAATTAAAAGTTTAATAAGATGTTAAAAATTAGATATAAACTCTTTAATCTTTCTCGGGCCAAAAACCTTTTTCTATTACTCACAATAAATGTATTTAAGATTAAGAAAAATATTTAAACACTAGATGGGTTTAGTTTGTGACAATTTAGGCAATGTGTGGGTATGTCGGTGTTTTTTTTTTTCTTGTGGACTGACAACTTGATTTTGTAGAGAAGGCTATTCTAGGAGAAAATGAGTTTTTTTTTTCTTTTGTATATAAACTCTTTTTGTTTGTTCTCCGTAATTATATATCTAGATTGTCAGAAATGAGGAGAATCCAACAATAGAGTGATTTGGAGTTGGGATGAAACTTTTATTTTGAATTTGCACTCTATGCACATTTGTATGAATTTGGAAAATTGTCACAAATTTGAGTGAAGGTGGTGGTTTCAAGATTAAGAAATATTTTAATTAATCCAAAAATACATTTTTGTGAGTAAAAGAAAATCTTTCTCAACCAAAACCCTTAAAAGAGAGAATATCAAAAATGTTAACCTTCCTAGAAAAAATTTAATTTGAAAAGTAAAGTTTCTCAACTAATTATTCACCCACCACACTTGATTTACATTGTCCTCAATGTAGATTGGAGAATGCAATGCCAGATGAAATCTTCAATAGTGGAATGAGATGTCATTGAGAGTAGGAAATGCATGATACTTGAGCTGAGATTGATGATTTTTTTTGTTTTTTTTTATTTTTTTTTATTTTTTTTATTTTTTTTGATTTTTTCCATCAATTATAAATAAATACGAATATGTTTTTGTAAATAAGCATATTTATTCATAATTGATTCTTTTTCAATTATAAACAAAAATGATTATGTGTATAACTAACATATTTATTTATAATTGATTTTTTTTCTCTTTTTTTTGTTGGGTTGCCTCCCAATTAGCGCTTAGTTTAACGTCATAGGCCGGACGAACGTACCACTTTTAAGGCGGTAGATGTGATGCTTTTCTCTGGTAGAATTTGATCATTGTGCCTCCTTTCATCGGGTAGAGTTTCGGGGGAACTTCGTCGTTTGTTGGTGTGATCTCAAGTACGTCTTCGGGGTGTGTTGGAGGATCCTCGTGCCCAAATATTTGTGCCTTCTTGATGTCCACGATGTTTATGGCCTTGGGAGGTGTGAAACGGTTTGTGTTGTCCTCCATGTTTTGAGTTGGAGTGGATTGTGTCTTCCATACATTGAATGTTTCATCATCTTCTCCCACTCTTAGCTTTACCGTACCCGCTTGTACATCAATGACGGCTGCGGAGGTGACCAAAAATGATCTCCCAAGGATGACGGGGATCTCCATCTCTTCCATGTCCAAAACAAGAAAATCTACCGGGAAGTAAAATTTTCCAACTTTGACAAGAACATCCTCCATGATGCCTATTGGATAGCGGATTGTTCTATCCGCTAATTGTAAGGCGACCGTTGTTGGTTGGAGTTCCCCCACACATAGCTTTTTAAATAGAGAGTAGGGCATAAGATTTATGCTAGCACCAAGGTCACAAAGGGATCTTACCTCTCCAATCTTTCCGATAGAATATGGCACCGTGAAGCTTCCCGGGTCCTTCAATTTAGGAGGGAGTTTGTTTTGTAGGATAGCACTACACTCCTCTGTAAGGGAAATGGTAGCAAATTCCGCCAACTTCTTTTTATTTGAGAGTATGCCCTTCAAGAATTTGGCATAAGATGGAATCTCCGCTATAGCTTCGGCAAATGGAATGTTGATGCTCAATTTAGTAAAAATATCAAGAAATTTTCTATATTGAGCACCATCATTCTTTTTCTTCAACCTTTGAGGATATGGAATGGGAGGAACATAATTAGCCACGTTTGATGGTGGCATCATATGCTCCTCATTCTCATCTTCTTTTTGCTTTTCCGGGGTCTCCTCCTCTTCCGGCATTTTTGGATCCTCCGTTGTCTTACCACTCCTTGTGGTAATGGCCATCACATTTTCCCTCGGATTCATCTCCGTGGTTGTAGGAAATTTGCCTTGCTCCCTAGAACTTACTTTTTGGGCAAGTTGTCCCATTTGAACTTCAAGATTTCGGATGGATGCCTTGGTATATTGCTCAATGGTGTCGATGCGTTGGTTGAGCTTTATATTTTGATCTTCAAAGCGAAGATCCAACTTGGTGAATTGAGAGTGAAGATTCCCAATGGATGCCTCCACTCTATGGTGATTTTCCTCATTTTGGGCCTTCATGCTTGGCATGCTTTTGGACATGAATTGCATCATATCCTCCATGGTGGTCTCCTTGGTTTGCCCAAAATTAGGTGCTCCGGATTGGGGTTGTGAGTAACTGGCTTGTGGCTTCCACCTTTGTTGATTTGAATAGTTATTGTTCCCCCGGTTCCCATAAGAGTTCATATAATTTACCTCTTCAAGATGTTGAGATAAATCACTTTCCCGGCTTGGTATGCTCTCCACGTTGGCTATTTGCTTGACTCCTCCCAATACGGCTTGTAAAGCCATTTGGAACTTGTGTTCAATCTTTGATTCCATTTCTTCAAACCTTTTGTTTATCTTCGCCGTGATAGAGGTTTCATTAATCCCGACCACTTTGTAATCTCCTCCTTGGAGTTGAGGATTCGAAGCAATGGATTCAATGATTCGGAGTGCTTCGGTTTCATTCTTGTTGCCAATATAGCCCTCGGCTCGGTTGTCCACAATGGCTTGGCAAGATGCATTCAAGCCATTGTAGAACGTATCAATTTGAAGGTCTAGGGGAATGCGATGATGTGGCATTCCCTTAGCAATGATTTGAAACGCCGCCATGCATCTTGAAAGAGCTCACCATTTTGTTGTTTGAAATTGAAAATGCATTGTCTAAGCTCTTGAGTCATGGTGGGTGTGTAGTATTTAGACATGAAGGCATTGTATATACCTTCCCATGTTGTGTAGCTTGTCGGGGCTTGTTCTAGGAACCATCCTCTTGTCGCCCCTTTGAGAGTATAGGGGAAGCATTTGAGCTTGAGATCATCTTCGGCTAGCTTGTTTCTTGGAATCCCTTGGATGAACCCATAGAACTCCGTGATAAAGTTCAATGGATTTTCCCCCGAATTACCATGAAACTGAGGCATAGCGTTGAAGTAGCTATGCTTTAGTTCATAGTCTCTCGCCTCCTCGCTTAGTACAATGCAAGACGGGGAAGTTGCAACAACGGGTCTCTTCCTCTCGTTTAGTGTGGGCATCATCTTTGTGGCTTTTTGCTCCTTCCGAATGTGTTTGCAAATTTTTTAGAACCTTGACTTCTCAAGTGCATGCAAACACAAAGGAATATCTACACACACAAAAATAAACCTTTCTGATGGATGGTCTACCCGGGGGTATATATCCGAAGGGTTATTACGGGGAATAACTTAGAGAGAAGTCAGAGCAAGTAAGAGAGAGAGTGTATATTCGATATGTATTCAGCGTGGTTACAAATGGGGAAATGGGGTGCTATTTATAGTAGCAATAAATGCCGGGCAGGGACACGTGTCAAGCGCTCATTGGCCGAGGGGTCACCTCAACTGGTTGGCGCTGGCAGCCGCATGTGGCCGCATTTAATGCGGCTGTTGGATGGGACGTCTGTGCGGGGTACGGTGATCTGTACGCATGTGAGGCGGATATCTTGTCGAGTGAGATGCCTTCGGCTATAAAGCGGTAGCCGAGGGCTCTTACACCCGATGCCCCCCTGGTGCCGAGGGCTCACAGTGCCGAGGGCTACTGTTTTCGCCGTTTTCTCCCAGTTTCTTAGTTTGCTTGAGAAACCCGCCCTGTGAGAATTTAAAGCCTTCGGCCAGGGGGCCGAAGGCACCCCTGTGCATTGTGCGGACTGCTTGGTACTCCGGGCGCTGTGATTTGGGCCTGTTGGGCCTTTTGGGCCTGTTGGGCCTTTGCTGGAGTAGTAGGAGTCTGTGGGCCGGGGGTTCCCGGGCCATATACTCCATCAGGAGTCCCTCACTCCTTTTGCCGAAAGGTACTTGAGGGAAAAGGAGTAATTTGTGCTTGCCCTTTGATGTTGTCCCGTTGTGATCTCTGAAGTTGGTGAGGAGTTGTTGCTTTTATGTCCCTGTCGAAGGCAGTCCCTCAGTTACCCACATGTCGGGACTTGAGGGCTTGCTTTGTTGTTTGTTGGAATTTCACAGATTTTGTAATGTAATGGTTTTCCCGAAGGGGTCCTCCCGTCCCCCACTCCTTGAGGCACTTGTAAAGTGGTGAAAAGGAGTAAAGTAGTTACGTTGCCGTTGTGGGCCGAAGGCTGACGCTTTTCGTTTCATTTTGGGGGGATGTCGCGTTAAAAACCTTATTAGGAAAAACCCTTTGGGAAAAAAAAATCCTAACGAGGGAAAAAGAGTGCACCGAATTCCCCCAATGATGAATCGAAAATGTCAAACCTTGGTGAAAAGTGGAGAATGACGGGAATGCCGAAGGCTCTCTCTTCTGAGGGCTCCTGTGTTGATTGGCCGAAGGCTTGCTGTTGATGTCCTGGTGGTGCCGAGGGGGAGCCCCTCAATCCAGGGATCGAGGGCCTGCCAGATGAGGGCAGTAGAGAAGTTGTTACCGGGGGGTCCACTGTTTGTTGATGAGTTGGTGATGAAGATACCCGAGGGCTCCCATTACCTGTGTGCCATGGGCCATCCGTCAATGAGGCACTCCCCGGGGGCTGCCCGGTTTTGTAGTGTTGAGGGGGAAACCCCGAGGGGTGCCCTGATATGCAGCCCTAGGGATCTGAAGGAGTGATCCCGCAGACGTGTGTAATGTGCTGTGTGGGGCACAACCCGGGGGCACTTCTGGGTGAGTGCACCCGGGGGCAATCCTTGACGAAGTGGAGTGAAGTAGAAAACCCGGGGGCTTCCAGAATATAGCCGTTGGAAATATAGCCGTTGGAATATGTAACGACGGAATATAGCCGTTGGGGGGATGGCACACGTGGCGTGTGATGGCTGGCTGTTCGTGGGCGGTGTCACCGGTTGGGTGAAACGACGGTGCGTAATGATGGCGTCCATCCGGAGGCCCGGAATCCAGGCCCAAGCCCGGATTCTATCGCCTATAAATACCCCAAGGCCAGGCATTCCTCCGTGTGCGAAAAACTTGTTAGCGAAGCTCTGCCAATTTTTCTAGAGAGAGAAACAGCAGTCCCCGGTTGAATCCTCTGTTCTCAAGGTCAGTGCCCTGCTCCCCTCTCAAAGTTTTTAGTAAGTTCCGCCCCCTGGCCTTAGATTAGGTTCAGAATCCTGTAGAGAGCCTTCAGAGTCTTAGGCTTATTCGTGATACAAAATGTCGTCCGAGAGCGATTCCCAGGACATCTCGAGGACGCCCTCGATGGAAGACGAAGGTATCTCCGATGCGGAGTCTAGTAGCAGTCAGCCCTCGGGTGGTGATGCAGCTCTCGCCACCGAGATGCAGAAGGATTTGGCGGCCGAGGTCGAGGCGGAGGAGTTCGAGCGAACTGTCGAAGATGAGGAGTTAGCCCTCGCCGTCCAGATTGCTGAGGAGGAAGAGGAGAAGGAGAGGGCGAAAGTCACTGTGGCCGTCCTTCCCCCTCGGGGTGCTGGTGAGGCCAGTACTTCCCAGCCGCTGAACGCGGTTCCCATCCGGGTGGCCCCCGGGAAAAAGAAGGCCAAGGCGGCTGTCCCCAAGAAGAAGGTCATAGCTGCTGATCAGGGGAAACCCGTAGACATGCCGGAGGGATATTCCTGGCTCAACACGGCTGCTTTGGAGATAAAGTCGAAGGCGGACAGGGCGGACCTCTACGTGACGCAGCTACATGTAGGGCCCTCGGCCGAGGTGGTCGAGCCGGGAGTTGACGATGTGCTCTCTCGGGCGCCTGAAGGGTGCATTGCAGTACACGTACTGTCGGTCTCCATGGGCCTTCGGTTCCCTCTGCACCCCTTCCTCCGGGAGTACCTGAGGTTCGTTGGCTTGGTGCCCTGCCAGCTGACACCTAATAGCCACTCCTACGTGGCGGGTTTTTTAAACCTCTGTAGGGACCGAGGGGTGACCCCCAGCCTGGACTTGTTCTTCCAGAGCTTCAACCTCTGTCGAGGGGGTCACGCGAATGCCGAGGGCTTCGCCAACCTGCAGCAGGTGGCCAGGTGGAAGCTGTTCACGAAGGCGCCTTCGTCAAACAAGGGCTGGAAGGAGCGCTGGTGCTATGTCAGGGTTGCTGAGAACCCATTTCCGGCGGAACTTCGGGATCGCTTCCGTCGGCATCCGAAGGTTGGAAGCGCCGCCCTCGAAAAAGACGGCCTGGTGATAGCAAAAATCCCGGAGGGTCGCACAAAGCAGGTCTCCATCAAAGACTACACTGCCGACAAGGGATTCTACGCCCTCGGCTTTCGGAGATACCGATTTATCGGGGAAGCGGACGAGAAGTACCCCATTTTTGCTGAGGCCTTCGGGGGAACAGGAGGTAGTGGCCGGGGGCTTTGCATTTTCGTACTTAGAGATTTTTTGTTATATTTGTTGTCGTGTCTCTGACCCCTCGGTTCTAACATTCCAACTTGTTGCTGTCGTTCTTTGCAGGTAGCAGAATGAATGCCAACGCCTTGTTCGCGAAGAGGAAGGGCAAGACCCAGCAAAAGGAGAAGGGGCCCTCGGGCCAGAAGCCAGTTGACGCGCTTTTCCCGAAGGTCATAGAGCCTTCCACCGGGGACGCCCATGCTGCTGTGGGGACCGGGGGGTCGAAGGCCGAGGCGGCCGCTAAGAAGAAGAGGAGCGACAAGGGGGTGGAGCCCCCCACCAAGAAGCAGAAAGGCGCCGGGGGTGCTGTCGGGGGGGCGGCCCCCCTCATAGTTATTGATGACATGCCCGCCGTTGATGAGCCTCTGGCCTCGGTCCCCCCGAAGGATCCGGTGAATCCCCCCCGGGCGGAATCACCCCGGGAGATCCGTCAGCTCTCCTTTGCCCCCAGCGCTTCGTTGATGCACGGCACTGCCGAGCCGAAGGCCTTCCTGCGGGGCATCACCTCGAAGATGGACAGGGAAGTCTTCGAGACCTATGATGACGATGCCCTCGAGAACAGGATCCTCCGGTCCTCGCTCACTGTAAGTATCCGCTTCCCTTCTCCTTATCTTGTCAG